AGTGTAGAACTAGAAATAATGATGCTAATTTGAACTAATCATAAATTAGACAGGAACACGGCAGCAGGCCTACTGGCCGGTGTTAGGTAGGTCTAACTCGCCCAACCACACCATGTACTTTCAATTTTTTTTAACGCTACCAAAGGTTTTCGGGAATTCAACATCCACAGCAGTCTACAAAACCAGTGCTTTCTTCCAATATCATTTCTAAGTAAAATTTTCAAACAATCACAGACCTGTTGGACTTTCAGCATACATCTCCTTTATTCCTGTCTGCCATTTGTACACAGATTATATCCTTCAAGTTCCCGGCCTTTCTAGAAAGAGTGCCTTTGGTCTGTCGTATTCAAGTTTTCTAATGCATGGCATCAGTCCTTTTGTTTACCAGCAGTTTGTTTTCATTCTATAACATGGAGAACAGTACTTTATGATCTGAAGGAGACCTTACCAAGAATACCAAGTTGAAGTATAACCTGGGGACTTTATACTTCTTGATACGAAGCCAAGATTTTTTTTTTCCTCCACAATTGTCTAAGATATGGGACCCACAACTGTGGCCCCGGTGGATAAAGCTCTAGCTAGCTAGCTAGCTAGCTAGCTCTCTCTCTCTCTCTCTCTCTCTCTCTCGCGCGCGCGCTCTCTCTCTCTCGCTCGCTCTCTCGCTCTCTCGCTCGCTCTCTCGCTCGCTCTCTCGCTCGCTCTCTCGCTCGCTCTCTCGCTCGCTCTCTCGCTCTCTCTCTCGCTCTCTCGCTCGCTCTCTCGCTCGCTCTCCCCCGCTCTCTCTCTCGCTCTCTCGCTCTCCCTGCTCGCTCGCTCTCTCGCTCCCCTCTCGTCTCGCTCTCTCTCGCCCCTCTCTCGCTCTCTCGCTCGCTCTCCTCGCTCGTCGCTCTCCTCGCTCCCGCTCTCTCTCTCCTCGCTCTCGCTCTCTCCTCGCTCGCTCTTCGCTCTCTCTCGCTCGCTCTCTCCTCGCTCTCTCGCTCTCCTCGCTCGCTCTCGCTCTCTCGCTCTCTCTCGCTCCTCGCTCTCCCCTCGCTCTCTCCTCTCTCTCGCTCCCTTCCGCCCCTCTCTCGCTCCTCTCTCGCTCCTCTCGCTCTCTCTCGCTCGCTCTCGCTCTCTCTCGCTCCCCTCGCTCTCTTTGCTCTCTCTCCGCTCCTCGCTCTTCGCTCTCTTCGCTCGCTCTCGCTCTCTCGCCCCTCTCTCGCTCCCCCTCTCGCTCTCTCTCGCTCGCTCTCGCTCTCTCGCTCTCTCTCGCTCGCTCTCGCTCTCTCGCTCTCTCTCGCTCGCTCTCGCTCTCTCGCTCTCTCTCGCTCGCTCTCGCTCTCTCGCTCTCTCCGCTCCTCTCGCTCTCCTCTCGCTCCTCTCGCTCTCTCGCTCTCTCTGCTCGCTCTCGCTCTCTTCGCTCTCTCTCGCTCGCTCCGCTCTCTCGCTCTCTCCCCGCTCGCTCTCGCTTCTCTCGCTCGCGCTCTCTCTCGCTCGCTCTCGCCCCTCTCGTCGCTCCCCCTCTCCGCTCGCTCCGCTCGCTCTCTCTCGCTCGCTTTTCGCCCCTCTCGCTCCGCTCTCTCGCTCCTCTCGCTGCGGCCTCTCGCTCTTTTCGCTCCCCTCCCCGCGTCCGCTCTCTCGCTCTCTCTCTCTCTCTCGCTCGCTCTGCTCTCTCTCCCCTCTCTCGCTCTCTCTCTCTCGCTCTCGCTCTCTCTCCTCGCTCTCCTCGCGCTCTCTCTCGCGCGCCTCTCTCTCCGGCTGCGCCCCGCTCTCTCTCTCCCCCCTCTCTCTCTCGCTCGCGCGCTCTCTCTCTCGCGCGCGCTTCTCTCTCCGCTCGCTTCCTCTCGCCTCGCCTCTCTCTCTCGCGCGCTCTCTCTCTTCGCGCGCTCTCTCTCGCCTCTCTCTCGCTCGCGCTCTCTCTCTCTCGCGCGCGCGTCTCTCCCGCGCTCCTCTCTCTCGCGCGCGCTCTTTTCTCCGCGCGCGCTCTCTCTCTCGGGCCTCTCTCCTCTGCGCGCCCCTCTCTCGCCGCTCTTCCCGCGCGCGCTCTCTCTCTCGCGCGCCTCCTCTCTCCGCGCGCTCTCTCTCTCTCCGCGCGCTCTCCTCTCTCTCGCGCGCGCGCTCTCTCTCTCGCGCGCGCCTCTCTCTCTCTCGCGGGGCTCTCTCTCCGCGCGCGCTCTCTCTCTCTCCCCGCGCTCTCTCTCTCTCCGCGCGCTCTCTCTCTCTCGCGCGGCGCTCTCTCTCTCGCGCGCGCGTCTCTCTTTTCGCGCGCGCTCTTCTCCTCTCGCGCGCTCTCCTCTCCCCTCTCTCTCTCCGCGCGCGCTCTCTCTCTCCTCGCGCGCCGCTCTCTCTCTCTCGCGCGCGCTCTCTCTCTCTCGCGCGCGCCTCTCTCTTTCCCTCTCTCGCGCGCGGCGTCTCTCTCTCTCTCGCCGCGCGCTCTCTCTCTCTCGCGCGCGCTCTCTCTCTCTCGCGCGCGCTCTCTCTCTCTCGCGCGCGCTCTCTCTCTCTCGTGCGCGCTCTCTCTCTCTCGCGCGCGCTCTCTTCTCTCCTCGCGCGCCTCTCCTCTCTCTCTCGCGCGCTCTCTCTCTCTCCGCGCGCTCTCTCTCTCCTCTCTCCTCGCGCCCGCGCGCTCTCTCTCTCTCCGCGCCCCTCGCTCTCTCTCTCTCGCGCGCGCTCTCTCTCTCTCCTCGCGCGCGCTCTCTCTCTCTCGCGCCTCTCTCTCCTCTCTCTCCGCGCGCCGCTCTCTCTCTCTCTCTCTCTCGCGCGCTCTCCTCTCTCTCGCGCGCTCCTTCTCTCTCTTCGCGCGCCTCTCTCTCTCTCCGCTCGGGTCCTCTCGGCTCTCTCTCTCTCTCGCGCGCTCTCTCTCGCGGCTCTCTCTCTCCCGCGCCCTCTCTCTCTCTCTCTCGCTCGCGCGCATCTCTCTCTCCCTCTCTCTCGCGCGCTCTCTCCTCTCCGCCGGCTCTCTCTCGCGCGCGCTCTCTCTCGCCGCTCTCTCTCTCGCGCGCTCCTCCTCTCTCTCTCGCGCGCTCTTCTCTCTCCTCGCGCTCTCTCTCTCGCGCGGCCCCCCGTCCTCTCTCTCTCGCGCGCTCTCTCTCTCGCGGCTCTCTCTCTCTCTCTCGCTCGCGCTCTCTCTCTCGCTCTCTCTCTCGCCTGCGCTCTGCTCTCCTCTCTCTCGCGCGCGCTCTCTCTCTCTCTCGCCTGCGCTCTCTCTCTCTCCTGCCTCCTCTCTCGCCTCTCTCTCTCCGCGCGCTCTCGCTCTCTCCTCTCTCTCTCTCTCCGCGCGCTCTCTCTCTCCTCATCGCGCACTCTCTCCTCCCGCGCACTCATCTCTCTCGCGCGATCATCTCTCTCTCCGCGCTCTCCCCTCTCCGCATCGCTCTCTCCACAGCGCTCTCTCTCTCCTCCGCGCCTCTCTCACTCGCAGCGCACTCTCTCACTCTCACTCTCGCGCGCTCTCTCCTCACCCGCCTTCTCCCTCTCCGCTGCATCCGCTCTCTCATCCTCGCTCTCTCACTCTCTCTCGCGCTCTCTCTCATCTCGCTCCCCTCCACGGCTCTCTCGCTCCTCTCCCACGCGCTCTCTCCCCGCCTCGCTCTCACCGCTCTCCTCCTCGCTCGCTCTCACACCTCCACGCTTCGTCCGCGACGCGCATTCACACACTCAGCGCACTCCACCTCTCCTCCACGCGCGCCTTCTCACTCGCGCTGTCCTCTCTCTACGCAGCAGTCCCTCCCGCTCAGTACTATCCTCATCCATCGCAGCTTCCTCTCTCTCCGCCGAAACTCTCTCTCTCACGGGCCCGCTCTCTCTCTCCGCCCTCCCTCTCTGACCCCTATACCACTCTCTCGGCGCCTACTAACCCCGCGTCTCAACGCCAACTCCAGCCGTCTCCCTCACCGCACACATTCCCCCCCCCTCCCCCTCCTCCCTCCGCCTCCCTCACTCCCTGGCTCTCTCTCTCTCGCTGGCTCTCTCGCTCTCGCTGGCTCTCTCGCTCTCTCGCTCTCTCTCTCTCTCTCTCTCTCGCGCGCGCGCACACACACACACGCGCACGCGCACACGCACACACACACACACACACACACACACACGCACACTAACACGCACTAACACACACACACGCACTAACACACACACGCACTAACACACACACACACATGCACTAACATACACTAACACGCACTAACACACACACACTAACACACGCACTAACACACGCACTAACACGCACGCACTAACACGCACACGCACTAACACGCACACACTAAAACACACGCACTAACACACTAACAAGCACTAACACACACTAACACACACACACTAACACACACGCGCACACACACTAACACACGTACTAACACGCACACTAACACACGCACACTAACACACGCACACTAACACACACACACTAACACACACACACTAACACTAACACACTAACACTAACACACTAACACTAACACCGGGTTCGAATCCCGGCGGGATGGAAACATTTAAGAACATAAGAAGGAACACTGCAACAGGCCTACTGACCCATGCGGAGCAAGTATGACTGTTCAAATTCGCCTGTGGTCACGTTTCTTAAGCATGTTCAAGAATGAAAATACACCAATAACACCACTGTAGAACTATCCTACATTCAAGTTCGTTCAGAATATTTAAGAACGAGTCTTCCTCATGAACCCACTGTAAACACCATCTCTTCCACGAGCCGAGCCCTTTTCCAGTCCTGCCTACCGCCTCTAAAATACACAATACCAAAACATACCACGGGCAGGGATAGAACCCGCGATCTGAGTCAAAATTCCAGACCGTCGCGTTAGCCACTGACCAGCTAGCCACAATAAGATTCATACCACCCGTGGTATGGTTTTTTTCGCAATCGTGTCATTACGATTTTGCGAGTCATGTACACAATACCATCCGACAGCTGCTGCTGCTTCCCTCCCTCATCTGTGAAGGGGGGACGAATGGAAGGCATTCAGGCTCAATTCAGGGTACTGGACCACAGATACAATTCCCTAGATCAAGAGCCCCTCACCAGCGTTAAGGAACCTACCTTGAGGGGCCCTCCCTCGCTGCAGTGAAGTGCCCCCGCTTGTCCATCGCTTCTCCGTCTATCCCTACTTAAAGGTTCACCCCCATGTGGTCTTTTCCGTGACTGTACATGTACACTGGATATATACTTTATATGCTTACTCAGGATTAATGGTGATGCCCTATACTCTTCACGAAGAAGTTAGTTAATTCCTGGAGGGTTACATTCCATCCAGGCACAAAAACCTTAAAAATCAGATCAACACTAACTTACTTTAAGAACATAAGAACGAAGGAACACTGCAGCAGGCCTACTGGCCCATGCGAGGCAGGTCCAAGTCTCCTACCGGCTTAAGCCAATGCACCCAACCTAGTCAGGTCAGGTCACATTGACTTAAGGGAGGGAACACGGCAACCGACCTGGTAGCACAAGCTATCAGGTCCAACTCTCACCCACCCACATCCACTCGTGTATTTATCCAACCTATTTTTAAAGCTACACAAACGTTCTGGCCTCCATAACTGTACTTGGAGTTTGTTCCACTCGTCCACAACTATTACCAAACCAGTACTTTCCTACATCCTTCCTGAATCTGAATTTTCGAACTTAAAACCATTGCTGCGAGTCCTGTCTAGGGGC